TGTATTGTCAAGGGGGTCTTGATTCAAGTTCTAGGTGTAAACGTACTTCAAACCCACCTTTTCACTGTCCTCCACACATGTTGGGCAAAAATTATGTCAATTAGCCACCCCTTCTGTGAAGGTGAGGTTAAAAAAACGGGTTTAATGACCTTGAGGAAGATCAAAATATTTATCACCATAATTGATTTTGTGCAGTGATTATATGGGGACTGTTATCGTTACGTGGGGAAAACAATAATTTTCTTACGTCAACATGCATTCCAAACACTGAAACTATGAACGAAGTTTGCAACCTTCTGTATAAACGCAACTGTTGTAAGGTATTGACTGCAGCACCCTATTGAAACAACGTTAAAAATATATCAATGGGCTTCCTTACATGGTGCATTAACATATTATTTCCAATTTTAAAATAATTCAAGTTACTTTACAAGAGATCTCAACTGTTGTAATTAAATATGTACATTTGGTTAATGCTTGTAGTAATACAACTCTTTAATGAACCGTCACAACACAGCAAATAGTAAAACATCAAAGTCAGCGTTCAACTGTGGCTTTGCTACATGTTTCGGCCACTATCGGCCATCATCAGGCAAATACATATCAACAAAAATCTACCATTTAACTGCAATCATACAATGGATATAACACTATTAATCGTACAAATTTAAAAATGCTTATGTAAAAAATTACAAAAGTTCAGATTATATAAAAAATAAAAATTGGAAGTATTATAACAAGATAAAATATTAATGATGTTTTCAAAACATTGAATCAGTCGTTGGATATACTTAGTGTGCGTTTCCATAGACAATAGGGAAATTCGATGTTACTTTATATAGAAGATTTTAAGAGAGGCCCATGGTGTAGCAATTAATGAATCTGAAAATAATATAAAAGTAGTAATGTTAAATTTTATTATAATTAAATAATTTAACATTGAAGATATAGTATAGAGTATATGTTATTACTTACTGTGTAATGCTGCTTCGTCATTAAGAAGAATTGTCCGTATTGCATGGAAAGCAAACAGCGACTGATTTGGTGGTGTAGGATTAAGGGATGGAGGGCGGGGGGAGATAGAATTAAGGTGTATGCGGAAGTGATGGTAAGGGGGGAGGGGAGAGGGTATAACTGTGTATTACGTTTTGTGTGTATCAATTATAACCTCATATATAGGATTAAACATTTCAGTGAAATTATCATTCAGTTGTAGGTTTTGTTTACTGATTTTGTATATATGAAACTTTTCATAAGTATCTAAGGTTCGGCCTTTCTTGCCGATATATAAAACTTCCAATGTTTTGTCTATCGTACCATATTCATGTGTGATGTCCAACACATGTTGAGCAAAATTTGGAACTTTGTCCGTTATTTTTTTATGTCACGTATGTGTTCTTTGAATCTGATTTTAAAGGTACGTCCAGTTTGTCCAATATATTTTAATGGACAGTCAGAACATTGTAGTTGATAAACCCCACTTAGATTATACATATCATTTTTGTCATCATTGATTTGAAACAGATGTTTTATATTGTTTTTAGTCTTATATGAGATACCAACCTCAGTATTCTTGAAAAGTTTAATAATAGATCTGATTTAATGGCCAAAATAAGTAAAGGTGGCCCATTTATTTTTCAACGTAGTATTTTTTTGTGGAGGGTTTGTGTGTATGTTGTATAGTATTTAGTGGGTAGTTATTATTATTTAATATAGTTCTGACAATGTTTTCTTCTATGTTTTTATTGTTTTGCGAAAGAGGATATTGATTCATCCGATTGATGAGAAAATTTATAGCTGCTTTTTTGTGTTCAAATGGATGTCATGAATCATTGTGAATGATTAGATCGGTAGTTGTAGGTTTTCGGAAGATTCCTAGTTTTAGGTTTTCATGTGTTTCTTCGATAGATAGATCTAAGAAATTGATCTTATTATTTGTTTCTTTTTCCATTGTGAATTTCATATTGGGGTGAATATTGTTAAATTCGTACAACATATTTTCAATGTTAGTTACATGGGAATAATAAAAGATTAAAATATCGTCAACGTACTCGTATCTAAAATAATCAATTATTTGGTATTTCGTAAAAATATCAATGATAGTTGTATGTTCGAGGTATTAATACCTCGGCAAGAATCGCTGAAGTTGGTGCTCACATAGCAAGACCTTCATTTTGTTTGAACCATTTGCCATTATGTTCAATATAATTTTGTTCTAATATTATCTTTAGCAAATTATTAATTTCTATTTTTGTTTCATTTCTATGGAAACGCACACTAAGTATATCCAACGACTGATTCAATGTTTTTGAAAACATCATTAATATTTTATCTTGTTATAATACTTCCAATTTTTAATTTTTATATAATCTGAACTTTTGTATTTTTTGCATAAGCATTGAAATTTGTACGATTAATAGTGTTATATCCATTGTATGACTGCAGTTAAATGGTAGATTTTTGTTGATATGTATTTGCCTGATGATGGCCGATAGTGCCCGAAACATGTAGCAAAGCCGCAGCTGAACGCTGACTTTGATATTTTACTATTTGCTGTGTCGTGACGATTCATTAAAGAGTTGTATATTGTAACACAGCATGCTGCATGAAATTAAGCTTGTAGTAATGTCTTCACCAACTTGTTCTTTCATAAATCATAATATTGGTAGTGTGTTCTGCTTTCAAACTCATATTTAAATACTAAAACCGTACATATTGGTATACCGCGATGTTTGATCACAACTGGATTCAGGGGGTAACTTGGAAAACTAGCCATCATTACTTGTATCATTAATCACTTCTTTCATGACAGAATATTCATAGAATAGAGTGCAGTGAATTTTACCCGTATCCACCAGAGCACTGAGGTCTGGTCTGCTACACCAGCACGACTGATTATCTGTGCAGCGAGGCAGGTACTGCTGACACAGTCATGGACACACTGTCATTTATTATCTATGAGGAATGGAGAAACAATACGCGTTCTTATTCTTGGCTCAAAGCAGTGATGCCCTTTCGAAGAGTATTCGGTTAACAGCTAAGTGTTACAGGCCAAGCTCCTAGCACAGAGTAAATTTTGAATGGTTCCTACGTGTGTTGACCTTCTCTGTGTTCCTGCATACAGATCCAGAGGTCCCGGGTTCGATTTCCGGCACTACCAGATTTTCTGAGAATTATCGTGTCTGGAACGTGGTCCACTCAGCCTTGTGACGATAACTGAGGAGCTATTTGAAGGAAATAGCGGCTCCGGTCTAGAAATCCGAGATTAACGGCCGTGGTGATCCGTTGCGCTGACCACGTGACATCCTCTATCGCAAAAGCTGGCACTAACTTCGCCGACAAGCGGCGGTCACTCGGTCAGTATAGTTCGCTTGCGGACCACAGGCCACGGAATTTGTTTGTTTTGCATGTGTTTCTTGAACAATGTTAGAAAACCATCTGCTTTTTCTTCATACCCTCAGTCCGCTAGTTAGAGGCACAAACCGCCAGCCCCATTTCGATCATACTCGTTGTAGCAAACATACAGTACACTTTGTTCAGCCTCTTGTACATTGTCTAATTCAATTTGTTTTAAGGGTCGCACGAGTTTTACATATTTCGTTAATCCTTTAGCATATCCTGATGCAAGTTAACGTGGGGCATTTTATCGCGTTAGTCGTATTCTGTGTGCTCATTCAGTATACTTCCAACCAGTATGAGGGCTAATTTATTTAGAAATACATTGATATGCCACCCTGATGATGCAGACAGCAAGTTCTGCCGAAACATTGCTAACCATATACAAGATTATGCGGTGTCACAATTCAAAAGGCCACAATCAAAAACTTGCATCTTACACACATTTTTTGTAAGGATGTGAACTTCACGTACTTAGTTCTGAATAGGACCAACTGTCGGGTTCTTGCGAACAGAGTAATGAATTTACGGGCTCCATGAAAGTCTGAGAATTTCTTCAGGAACTGAGCAACTATTATCTTCTCAATTAGGACATTGCCCCATTAAATTAATTTGCTATTAAGCTAGTTAGTTAAGGGGTCAAAAGTAAGTAAGTAAAAGTAAAGGTATGCCTGTAACAGGCCGTAGAGGCTCATAGGGTTGTGAGATGTTGAGTTTCCCACATTTTGTAGACAATCGGTTCATAGATGGCGGTAAGGTTGTTAGCCTTACGCACTGGCCGCCCTATACCCCCAGGAAGATTCCTGGTACTCATTTCTGTTAGAGGCTGAGTCGACCCCAGGGCCATATTGCGGCCGGAAAGATTCGGTGAACTGAAAAAGTCCACCTTATCGGGAGTCGATCCTGCGACCTTCCGGCTTATAGTGAGTTACGGGCTCAGCAGAATTTAATTATAACTAGGGACCGGATTTTAATGCAAATGCATATTTCTTTCTTGCAACCAGAAAGTATGCTCGTTTGGATGTATGTATGAATTACTTCATTTCTTAAATTTTGGACATGGTTTGATGGTACATATAAATTCAAATTTTGCCTCTTTTATGAATAAGCATCATATTTTCGAAGATCTCTATTTATACTGTATATTTCCTTTTTTCAAAATGTTTATCACATATTTTTTTAATTTTTTGTTCAAATTTTCAATCATGATCGTGTGTATATAATTTTTCTTTTCAGCATTAGAATATGTTGCATATTTGACTCAACATTTCGTCATGATTCATGTTTCTGATGCAATACCCAGGACGGGACTTCCCCGATCCCTCTACTCGTAACTTGCCTCATCCGCGTACCATCAAAGTGGCCGTGAAGAGTTAAGGTAGGCGCACACCTGTCGTCATCGGACGGACGGCACGGATCGGACGGATCGGATTTTATTATTACATACATCGTGTCAAATGAGCCTGCGCTCACTTGTCCGCATCGTACGTATCGGAGTTCGGCAATGCCGACGGGTATTCCCGAGAGGGGCAGGCAATCCGATTAGGCCGTACGGAGCGGATGACGTGTTCGGGATTTCACTTCTGACGACGTTAGCAGCTGTTAGTTCGTTTTCATTCAATGTGCTTACAACTGGTGAATTTTCCAATGGATTCAGCTCAATTGATTGTCATCGTGCAAGAATATGAAGAATTGTACAATTTGAGACACCCTGACTATTCTAACCAGCAACGAAGGGACAACATTTGGGAAGAGATTGGAAGGAGAATGAACCACCTCGGTAAGTACAAGTACTTCTACAATTTAATCATGTACATTTTACATTACAGTGGGATGTTATTAGTGAACTAATAAAAATGCACTACATTTTACAACACACTTTACAGTAACAGAGTAATAGTAATACAGTTTTACAATGAGAGTACAAAATTACAATATAATTAGTATTATAGCATAGTTCAGCTACAGTAAGGAATAATATATTAAGGCAGGCGCTGTCCAGCTTGAACTCTTCTTTGCTGCCATTCAACGGAACCTATATCTGAGTTGAAATATTGTTTGAAACATTCCCTTACTTCTAAAGCATCTTGACGTGAAGTACCACCACTTCTTCTGAGACTTCTCAAACCTTCCACGTTGGAAAGAGAAACTTGCAAATCAGATTCAGTCCAGTGACATGTGTCATCTCTTAAAAAGTTATGTAGACAACATGTAGCCATAATAATTGTAAAAAAATGTTAATGGGAAACATTCAACTTGCGTTCGAAAATTCTGAATTTTCGAGCCAATATTCCAAACGTGTTCTCCACTGTATTCCTTGCACAACTTAACCGATAGTTAAAAATCTTTTTTTCTTCGTTTTGATCCACATCATCACGTGAGTAAGGTCTCATTAAGTAAGTGCATAATGGGAAAGCTTCATCCCCAACAATGACATGTGGTAAGATAATATTTCCTCTTGGAGGTAGCTTTGGTGGAGGAAGGTGTAAACTTCCATCTGCCAAGCCCTTACCCAAATAAGAAGTTCGGAAAATGCTAGCATCAGAGTTTTTACCAAATGCACCGACATCAATAACTAAGAACTTATAATTAGCATCGACTAATACTAGCAGGACAGTGCTGAACATTTTTGTGTATCAAAAGAAATCCGAGCCGCTGTGTGGAGGTGCTTGAATTTGCACATGTTTGCCATCGAGAGCGGCCACCGCATTCGGAAAATTCCACTTTTCACGGAAGCCTTATTCTGATGAGATCCATAACTGTTCATCAGGTGTTGGCATAACTACGGGCCTCAAGACAGTCCATATAACGTCGCAGGTTGAATACGCAATTTCGCGAACTGTACTCTCACCCAGACGGTAGGAAAAAGCAAGTGACCGGAACGAGTTCCCAGTAGCCAAAAATCTGAAACAATGAGAAAGAAGGATCTAGTACACTCCGGTTTCCCCTGTCATATTTCATTCCAGCAACGCTCCACAATCATTTCATTTAATTTGTCATTCATGAATCATTGCCCCAGGGGAGTGCGACAGGCTTCGCCAGCCAGCCGGAAACAGGTTTTGGACTGTACATGTAATACTGTATGTACGAGTATATTACATACTTCAATTGCTAATAATCTCGTACATATTACCTGTTTCAGGTGCAATCTGCAAATCCAAATGGACCAGAATCAGGGACAACCATCGCAAAGCATTGAATCTGCTCAACACGAAAAGTGGGCAGGCAGTTTCAAAAATGAAGCCACCCAAATTTCATAAAGAGCTTCAGTTCCTCACTCCATACCTACATGACGACGAAGATCGAATGACCAACCTCACGCCTTCAATTCCATACGCAAGCAGTAATTTGGAGGAAGAAGAGGACGAAACTCAATCAGAACACCCCCTTACGACATTTCAAATTCCCCCATGTTCTCCAGCAACAAGTGACACACAACGTTCATCATTCGCAAACACACATTCAAACACATATGGTCGTCGGAAGCGAATTTCACGGAACTCCACGCCACAACCGACTGCAGCATCAGTACTGGACAAATATCTCAAGTCTAAGGAAATGAAATCCACAACAAACCCACCGACTGACCCGTTAATCGAGTTTTTCATTAATATGGCTCGGACTGTGAAAACCTTTCCACTTCAGGACCAAATTCACATTAAGGGACAACTATTTCAGATGGTAAACAGCGTGGAAATGCGACTGGCACAAGAAATGGATTCGTCGAACTCGGTCATTTCTTCGGCGACCCACAGTCCTGCCCAACACCAACAAGTCTTGAACCCATCGCTTGATATTGAGACAACTGATGATGCTATAATAGACAGTTTGCTGAAATATCCGCGTTAAATACTGTTGCTGTTTTTCAACTTATTGTCATTGCTGAAAGTTCCCATTAAATAATGCTACTTTTTCAACTTGTTGTCATTTACTTTTATTAAATCATTAAGAGTAAAAATGTCTGAAATGTATTATAATATTGGCAGGCCAGGTTCAAACCCGGGTGGGCACGTGGGATTTTGTGATGGACAAAAGTGGCGCTGGGGTAGGTTTCCTCCGAGAACTTCGGTTTCCCCTGCCTATAGTCTCACAGGCCAAATAATAAAAATATTGTATACGTACCTTAAGCATACTGCTAGTCTTTGTTGAGGTTCTATTGCATGGCGGTATTTAGTATTTTGCTTCACTAAATGTGGTCTCAGGATGTTCAGGAGTTCTGAAAACTTGGCGTAAGTCGTACGAAAGTATTTAAAAAACTTGACGTCATCATCTACCAAATCAGGGAACAAAGTATGATACTCTCCGTAATCCACTCTTTTCTTATTTATTTTGTGAACCCAAATTTTCCGTTTTCGTGTCCGTTTCTGTTCCTCTTCTGCCAGCAAGCAACTTGTTACTACAACTTCTTCCTCACTATCCATAACTGTTCACGATAATCAATAAACAAACTTCAAAGAATAGTCAAGAAGATGAACTTCACTTAACGATGTTACGCTATGAACTGAGCTCTTCTTGAAGGCAAGACCACCTGTCGGAAATGCGGATGCTCCGAATCTGGTGTGCGCAGTCACACAAAAAATTCCGATCCGTCCGATCCGTGCCGTCCGTCCGATGACGGCATATGTGCGCCTACCTTTAGTTGGAAGCGTTCACATGTAGCCGCTATCAATGTAATACTATACAGTACTATACAGTGATACGATCTTACAATTGAAAGCATTAGAGATAAGATTCAAGATAATTTTGTGTGGGTATCAATCGACGAAACATAAAATTGTGAGGGACGGTTGATGGCAAATTGTATAGTTGGATCCCTTAATAAGAACGAAGAATCTACCCCATATCTTCTTGAGGTAGAGCAATTTGAAACCACAAATAGCTCCGCAGTTTCAGAATTTACTATGGCCGAGTGGCATTCAGTATGAGAGCGTATTGCTCTTTGTGACTGATGCCGCAAGTTATATGATGAAAGCCGGTACTGCTCTTAAAGTTATATTTCCAAATATGACACATTTGACTTGCCTTGCCCATGGGTTGCACCGTGTTGCAGAAACAATTCGTGCAAATTTCCCGCTTGTTGACAAGTTGGTGTCTTCTGTGAAGAAGGTATTTGTTAAAGCGCCATGTAGAAAAGAAGCCTTTAAAGCAGTAGCACCGAGCGTTCCACTTCCGCCAGAACCAATTTTAGCGCGCTGGGGCGCGTGGCTGTGTGCAGCGAGATATTATACCAAACATTTAGTCACAGTTAGGAATGTCGTGAATACCTTTGATCCCAAAAGTGCAGCATCAATTCAAATTGCCCAAGATGTACTAAAAAACGCAGAACTAGAAACTAATCTTTCCTATATACACGTATCTGCTCACTTCTCTCATTTTCCATCCGCCATTTCCTCACTGGAGGCAAGCAATAGCAAGCCTACTTTGTATCAGTCGTTAAATGTGTTCAGAACCACTGTTTCCAAATTGAATTCGGTTTCTGGAAGAGGTGGTGAAATAGTAAAGGAAAAAGTACATAGCATTCTTTAAAAAATCCAGGATGTGAACAAATTTGTAAAATTGAAGAAATTTTAGCCGGTAAACGTACTGAACTGCCAAGTAAAAAATCACTAACAGTGGACAAATAGTGGCTTTTGTACATGCGCCCCTAAGTTCCTGTGAGGTGGAAAGAAGTTTTTCCCGCTATAAGGACATCTTACGAGACAACAGGAGACGACTAACTATGGAAAACCTAAAACACTCAGTAATTGTGAACTGCAACAGAAGAGAAGTTTAAAGTTCGGAGAGCTAAATGTGAGTACCATTAGTTTTTTAAATTTATAATGAAATATAATGGCTTTGTTGCATGATTTGTATTTAAGTATAGCTTTTTATTGCAAGTGAATCATTCAGTGATTACATAAAATGAACTTAAATATTGAGTTGTTGTTCTTAAAATAATGTAAAATCATTTTAATATTTGGCATAAATTGTATGTGCATATTTTCGTGCATATTTCGGAAGTTTTTCATGCATAAATGCATACATATTTAAGGGATTGTTAGGGCATAAAAATCCGGTCCCTAATTATAACATAAGCCTAGTCTTTGCTGTATAATCCCAACTACTGTCAGCTTGTTTAAATAAACCAGATACTCGTATAAACAATAAATGTACTAATAAAATATAAAAATTTTAGTGCCCTTAGCAGCTCTCGCTTAAGGGATAAATCAAACCGCATAAGATATACAAAAATAATTATAAGCATGAATTTTTTTTTCAGTTTTCCTTCTAACTGAGAGATGTCTAGTATTTTTACGTTTTCTGATTATATCGAAGGCTTGTGGAAACATGTACCAGAACACCGGAGTGTTGTCTCGCGGCAGTTTGAATCAGTATCTCTTCTTCATGGGGGAAAGAAAGAGAAACTCTCCTGCACATATCTGCTAGTATACAGTTCAGAACAAAAATAAATCTAATATTGTATAACTTGCATATTCAATTTCGACGTAATTCTTCATCTGTATCTTGTATAAAATTCAATTTTTTAGTTGGAAAAACAGAATTGTTCCCATTCCCAAGTAACTGTCTCAATTACAATTTCCAGAAATTGACATGATGCATGATTAATAGAACTGCAAGTCTTCTAATGTATTATTCTCACAGGGCATAAAAAGAAACCTGAAAACGAGATGAGGTTTATTTAACCTTTCTTAGAAAAGGCACTGGCAAACCCCCCACAGCACAACATGCAACACGCAACAAGCAAGGCTCTGCTTCACTTATTTCTCGATCCCGGAAAATAGAAGCGGAATGTCCCTCCGAAACCTTCACATGATATAGAGTTATATCTCAGAAGCACAGATATACGTAGTTGCCGCTGTGAGGTCCTAAGATCCGACAGAGAAATGGAACCGCTCATCCAAGAGATCGAGTAGCTGTGAGAGCGCTGTGCAACGTCTGCTAGCCAGGGACTCTGTGGATAATCTTGTAAGAGCAGAGCAGATGTGATGAGTCACATGAGCGCTAACTTCCACAGCGAGGAACTCTCGAAAGTTTCACGGAATGCGCGTAATATATGTCGCGCTTCAACAAGGTAGGACCGTGTGGTTTTTGCTGGAACCAGTAATCACTTTTAATTTCATGGTGAACTGTTTTAGTCTTATATTAGCCTAGTTTCATTGTTTTGACAAAATAAAAGTAGGCTTTGTGACTGGCGTTCCGAAATGGCCCCTTGGTTGGCACCACTCGTGACTGCCTTTTGTCCGACTTTACGTCACTTATCTGTTCTTCTACCTGTATCCCTTCCTTCCGGTGCTGCGGTTCACCTGTACCTCGTGTCTGGACACCTCCACTGGAGTTACTGCCCTCCTCCCTCTTCTCGTGGATGGCGAGAAGTTAGGTGGGAAGGGAGGAGAATTGTGGTTGTTGGTGCTGGTAGGCGGGAGTTCGTTCCTGTACTACCATTAGGTGTCTCGCAAGTAGGAAAGACGGGAGTAGCTGGGTTCCGCTCTGTAATGGGTAGAGATGAGTTCTTTTCCCGGGGTCTTACGAGCCTGGCTCGGGCAGGGCAGAAAGATTTTTACGCTACAATCACATACACCACTTCAGGCTTTGCACGTAGCAGTTATTTGATTAACTCAAGCTCACTAAACACAACGGAAGCTCTAATGGTTACATTTAATTTGATTTAACTTGTACTACTTTTACCGTAGTGACGTAGTTGCATTTTTGTGTCTGACTTGGCCGAAAGTTGAATGGAGACTCTCCGAGGTGGAATAATCTCTCTCCGAGCCCTGAGGTCCACGAACCACATACTCCAAGAGAAATCCACTCCTCCACCATGTGCCATTGGTTTAGTTTGAAAACCAGGAGGTTCCCTAAATTTGTGAATTACCAATCACGTTGCTTTCCTATGTGATTCTGGCAGTTGCTGACCTGACGCTAAGGTTGACAGCGACTTGATGCATTACGATCCGGGGATGAGGCTCAGGCCCTCCCACTTCTAAGTTATAGCTATTCCAATCTGTCAGCTCTCAAATTCTCAAAGACTTTCCGACTTTGCTGAAACTGTCAGAATTCCAGGAAATGTACCAGATGTTACTTCCTGTCCTCATAGCGAAACTTGAACTATGTCACTTCTGCGTGTAAAAGTTGCCTCTCTGCCGGATCTGTTTGTATTTACGTGATATTAACTTATTGTAAATTTAATTAATACAAAAGGTCCACCAAATTATGGTGAACGGTTACATCTTGTGCGATCTCCATGCTGACTGTGTGTTTGTGTATCGCTCCCCCCCCCATTAACTTTTGGATGCATTAACCAATCTTCGCGAATTCTGGTATGTGTATCATGGCGCCTGAGGCCATCTCAGCGGCATACTTTAAATATCCTCCAAGCAGTCTGTGTGTTGGCATCTGTATCCCTTCTTACGTTGCCAGGCAACGTATTTGTAAAAATGTTACCGGACAACGAATAAACACGCAACAATAGAAGAATTGTTGGACGTGTCGTTTTGTACGTCGTCTGTGCCACTCCCATTGCTGCTAACAGACCAATAAACTTGCTGTCTGACATGTCACACTGTTTTCTCGTCGTGGTCCGTGCCCAGAGGTAATAAGAGAATATGGGAATCCAGAATCCAGTTTCCGAAATGTTGTGTTGCAAATACGTGTATAAACAGGACGATGGATAATGCCCAGAAAAGCAATAGTTGTACTCTCATGCCGGTGCTGAAGCGACCGGTGGGCGGAACCAACTACTTATTTAGTACATCTAATGCCTTGTTTAGGAATTCGTGGAGCTGAAGCTCGGTGCTTTTATGGGGACCTTCTGGGGCGCATGAGTTAACTATACGTTAATCACTTCACGTGAGAATTTGAGCCCCTTACAGCCGTGTTTATGAAGAGTTCTACCGTCTGGGACATAACGCCGTGCAGTCCGTTTAAAGTCAACTGACGTTTCGAAAGAACATATCCCCTCCATCTTCAGATTCGAAGAAAAAGGCAAGAACGAGAACTCTGCTTGCTACCTGCTGCATCTTGGCTTTTTCCTTGG